CTCGTGCGACCAATATAACCTGCTCCACAGGAGCAAGCAAAGGAGTAGATACCCGTGGAGGTGGTCTGAGTCGGTAACCTGTCCTTACCTTCCCTACGGAAGATTGGGTTAGTTGAGAATAGTACCCGAACTCTCGCTGCTGGGAAAGTTCGTGACATGGCCTCGTCAAGGCGTCTCTTCAGGAGTTTGTATATGAAGAGTAAAGGACAGATTACATGTCAGAGTAACACCAAGGTACCGGAAAGAGGATACCTCATTAGGCAGGATTTTTAAGGATTCAAGAATGGGAGAGGATCGCAATCGGAAGACGCACTGGGCACACATGGCTAACGGCCACGCTGAGACGTGGTCCAGGCCATCTTTCAGAACCTGGAGATGTGTCTGACTTCGATTGACCCTATTCGCCGCCTTGGTGGGAGTCTAACCTACACTACAGGAAAGGCTTCTGCATAGCCAACGCTCTACCCTGCTGTCTGCGAATTTTTCACAATTGGGTGAATCGAATTATTGAAATCTGCCAAACCCCTAACATGTGTCTAACTTTCTAGAGGGTGATCAACAACCATATCTTCAGCATATTTTACATACAAAGATTCCCTTGGCGATCGTAGATCCTCATTCTGGAGGCAAAAGAAGTGAGGCGGTAAGAGCTGAGAAGAACCGTGCATTTTCGTTCACCAAGTTTCCAGCTCATCGCTAAGGATTTATTGCACACACACTTGAGCTGGTACGGAGGTCACTGGCGCGCTCTAGGCATAGTACACGAGTACTCAATGTCAGGACGGTTCGCAACGCATTCTCCGTCAGAAAATCGGAATTCTTTGACGCTGTCGAGCACAACCTCCTGTCAGAAATACTTCCATTCATACAAGTCTCCACCTACAAGTTCTCCCCATCCCTTTTCCGAACCTGCGCGCCCTAAGAAACTATGTTCTTACTATTTTCTGCTGATGTCATTCAAAGCAGTACTTGTCTCTCTTTAGACGGCACATTATGCTATGGGAGAAGAAGGTACAACTGGTTAATGAGACGAAACAAGCGGTTGACTCCTCTGTCGGCCAGGGCGAGATAAAGGCCATGGAGTCGGAGATCCATCGAATGGAACTTCGGAAAGCGCAAATCGCCCGCCAGCAGGAGATGCTCATTCAGGCTCTTGAGAAGTCAGTGGCAAGGTGAGTTTTGTGCACTTCTATTCTCTGCTTATGTTGGGATGTTGATGCACCCTTGAGTAAAGTTATGTATTTAGCGACCTTTTAAAGAACCTGACCTTTATTCGCCAGGTTAGATTTTGTGGACATACCTATGTACGCGCGCTCAGCCAGAATCAAAGTCCAACGAGGCACGAGTTGAAAGGTGGGAAGGGGGCGCGTTTGATTTATTTATTTATTGCCAGCTTACAGGCAATGATCGCTAAAGAAGCCAAGCGGTCAATCCGAGACGATCGTTAAAACGAAGTTGCTTGATCTTCAAGATAAGCCTTGATTCGGTTTCTCATCCCTGAAATCGAGCACGCGAGCAAGAATATTCGGAGACAGGTGGAGTATAGGCAGGTAATTCTAATTTTGAACATCATCCCCGGTAACGTGGAGGGTACAGCCACAACGTTCGGTGTGGTCATTAGAAATACAGAAAAGTATATTTCCTCACATCTCGAAATTCTAACTTTCTGTAGTTACATTAATCTGTAGACTAACATAGGAGTCTAAGCCCTGAGTGCGCTTAGAACACTACAATTAGCACGCCCAGTTCCGTACAGGAATAAGAGGGGTAAGACCAGTAGGAGTTATTTATTGTGTACAGGAACTCAATGGTGGTGTGAATCCCCGACGCGCGGAAGGCCGCGGGCCCTGTGTGCGCGCGCGCGTCCGTCTGTTAGTGTGCTGTGGGCGTAAGTGAATAAACGTCATGCGAGAGTGAGTCACTGGACGATCGATCAACTACTTGGCCAATAGTCGTCTACGGCACCTGTGATTGGCTGGCCCAGAAGGAGGTAGAGTAGCGAAGTCACGTGCGCTTTGCGGGCTTGGCGCCAGCGCTACAAATCTACCAAGAGTCATAAAGTTGTTTGACCCTTTTGCGCTGCGTATTCTTCCCTTTTTTTCTGTCCCTTTTCAGGGTGTCCTAACCGCAAATTGAAATCTTTCTTCCTATATCTGATTTAAGTTTATAATACACAAACATTTCTAGATAACGTTTTGGTGTAACAGTACCTGCAGCCTTTCTACTCAACCGATTTTTGTAACGAAATGATATGCGAGCTCTAGTGACTAAAATCTCGATATGATAGCGAAAAATGCCAGCTAATAAGCATTAATATGGTTGAAGCTGTCGTCCGCGTTTTATACTCTGAGCATAAATTTATATTGATTCAAGGGCCTCTTCTGGGATATAAATGATTATGAATTGAAAATAAACTGCACTAGATACACTTTCGTGTATTTTTTATTCGGGCAGCTGGTATGAAACCAGAGTTTTCTTTTAATGATCGCACAAATTGCGTACACATTTTAAGTCACAATCAGTCGAGGAAACTCAATGAATTTTGTCCCTTTTTTCTTATTGTCTATATTAGCGAGGTTTCTTGCCCCTTACACCTCGTAGAATATGATGTTACCGAAAATCAAGCCTGACCCATGCTTGTTAAATTTCCCTTTTAAGCAGCTGAAAATTAAGGAAAGCAAGCAATTATCGGATAATGTATCCAGTAGCCGATGACTCCCATCCATCGAGCTACCATACTAGGTGTTTAAAGTTATTCATCTAGCCCATGGAGGACATGTAGCATATAAGCGATGGTTGTGCTTAAGGCATCATACTCATCAGGCTAAATCCCGGTTGTTGGAAAAGGACAGAAGGTACCTGTAGGAGGAAGATATTGTGCACAGAACCCTGAGTTGCTATCCCAGGTAGCAGTGGCCATTGGCGAAGACAGAGCTAGTGCTGACTGCGTCCAGTCATGCCTGAGAGAACGTCTGTGAGATATCGAGGTGGCAGCTGCTTTTATTTGATTGTGGAGCAAGTTTGAGTGGTTTGCGATTGGTGTGTCGCATTGTACGGGGGGTGTCGTGTATAGTGGCCCCTGCTACATCGGCCAAAGGGGTCGTGTGTTCAAGTGGCACCGTTGGCAGCCGCGACTCTTTGGACGCGCGTGTGTGCGTGTGGGGAACTGGGTCAAGGGTCT